GACCTTGATTATATGATCACAAAATCTTAAGGGGTCATCTGCTGGCCTTGGCAAATGCCCATACGTTCAACAAAGTTGTGCTAATTTCTTCTCAAGTTATTGATTGGAAAATTATTTAACAGTGTCATAGTGACCTTGAACTTTGACCAAATATTCAAAAGGAGTCATCTACTGGCTATGGGCAATGTCCCTATCAAGTTTAGCAACTATGACTAATATTTCTTCTTATGTGTTTGATAGTAAAATGAGTTTATATTAGTTTCATTGTGACCCTGACCTTTGACCTGGTGAGGGGGTTATCTGTCTGGCTATGGGCATTGCTTATTTTGAGTTATTCAAACGTTTGACTGATTCCGTCTCAAGCAATTTATCGGGTAAGGATTTTACAGTTTCACTGTGATTTTGACCTTTAACCATAAAATCAATAAGGGTCATCTACTGGCTATGGGCACTGTCCCTTAAGACGATTTCTGACCTTGATCTTCAAAGAAATAATTTCCTAAGAATGTCAGCCAGCAGTGTGCACTAGTTGATCTGGCTCTTAACAGGTGACAAAGGCTTCTCATTTGTGGTTTCATCAGGGGTTAGAATCACTTAAAATCAAAACACAAACAATACTATATTCAAATTTGGACAATTCTTCATTACATTGAGTGGGTCAAAGTGCTAAATTCACCTGCAAAATTATGCTTTGTCTTCATTTGATAATAAAATACAAATAGTAAAATTTAACCTGCTTACTTAGTGTAAAGGATTTTCCCAGAAAAGTGCACACTTTCTTTTAAGCAGGTTAAAGGCTCATTGTATAAGAAAAATTCGAGGGAAGCTGGAAAAAAGTTCACATTTTTCTTTGGTGTACTGTACCGTTTAGTGTATACAGTGCAAACATCAAAGAATAAAAGCCTATTTCATCACCATTATCCCTAAATTATGTTCTGCTATAGATCTTAAAACATGGATAATTAATTAATCATCTAACAAGTGTGAACATTCAGCACTCCCCCAAATAAAAAATGTGCAAATATTTATAAATTAAAAAAAACAAAAACATGCATTATTTTTTATCTGTTATCTCTTGCATCATAGAGTAATGCCTGAAGTTTTTAAATGTGTTTTTTGCAATGATTTTACAGGTGTAGATCTAATAACACTTAACTTCCTTAAATTGATGAGCATTTAAATACATGTATTTATATTTCAGTCTGTGTAATAATTCCCTCTAATGTTGTTATGTTTAATGAACATGTACTGTGTGAGTTTGGATCCATTTCTAGTACATGTAGATAAAAAAATTTTCAATGAAAATATTAAACCCTAAACCTGCTGGAACCCAGCAGTGATTAGCCTTTGTCGGGTACCAGTATTGAGTCAGGACAACCTGCACAACTATTGAGCAGCGTCATGACAAAACCAACATAATGGGTTTGCGACCAGCATGGATCCAGACCAGCCTGCGTATACCAGAGTCTGATCAGGATCAATGCTGTTCGCTTACCAACTCTATTACAAGTAGAGAAACTAATAGCGAACAGCATGGATCCTGATCAGACTGCGCAGGCTGGTCTGGATCAATGCTGGTCGCAAACACACTATGTTGGTTTTGTCATGACACGGCTCAATTATGATTTAATGGGAGTTAACCAGTTGCTACACTAAGGTGACGATCTGTGCCGGTTTAAGAGGCTTGGTTCCCTAATTATAAACTTATTTTTTTATTATAAAAAATTAATGAATACAGTCGGTAAATCCATGACAAATATTCAACAGGTTATGCCATCAACTGTTCATGGTTTAGTCAGCTTGCAATCAAATATATAGACTTATAGTACCATGTGTAATATTTACAACGTCTAGTTCAACATAAACAACATGAATTTAATTCTGCCTTTCTCGACATGGTACATCTATTATCTTTATAATAAGGTGTAAATATTCAAACAAGTTTATCTTTACCTACTGGCAACTATAGAGTATACACATAAAACCAGTGCATACCATGATCAGTCAGCATATCTATGCCATCTAATCATGGTGTGCTATTCTTTGTAATTTTCCATGTCCATTTCTGATAATTACTGATGTAAGAGCAAATATTACCAGTCTGTGAATTCATGATTTAAGAATATAGTGTATCATTTAAAACTTAAGGTAGTCTTACTCTAATGTTTTCCCGCCAAAAAATTCCAACATCGGCCAATATCACAATAAATTGGCCATTTCCGGTGCGTTATTTTTCACAAACTTCGGTATTTGATAATTTTTAACCATTGATAATCGAAATTTAGTATATAGCAATAAAGGATAATTGATTGTTAATAATTTAATGCCCAAGATTAAAAAAATATAACCCTTCGTAAATAACCGCTTTGCTATGATATTGACTGATGTTTGACTTTATTTTAGCAGGAAAGCTTAACAATATGACTACCTTAACTATGTACTGGCAATTGTTAACACTCTTATGCATTAAAATAAACCAACAATATGTATTTTTTCAATTCTGAGACATTTTTTTTCCATATTTTTACAATTTATTCCCTACAAAGAAAATTACTAACAACATGATGATAAAATAAACAATACGATTTTGAATTTTGACAGTTTAGAAAAGAGTTTAAAGCTTGTATGATGTATATAGAAAAATATACATTATAAGTACATGTGTAAATAATAACAATAGAGCACATTTTACTTTATAACATTCATAATATTTCTTATACACGATTTTGTACATAATTCAAATGAGAAATAAATATAATGTCATGATATTTTAGCAAATAAACACAACAACACCTTAATTAACACAATCATTCAATAACTAACCCAATTATACCTTAATTAAACTAATTGAACTATAATCAACACAACCATCCTTGAATTAACCTAACCAAATGCATAAACAACAAAAGGTCACATAAACAATGAGTTTAACAATTATTTGTGGAGATTCTATAATTTCTATTCTAAGCAACAAACCCTGTAGCCTAAAAGGGGGCGACTGATTCTACAAATGTGAGCAGTTCTGACCAAGATTACCCGGCACAGCTGTGCCATCTGATGATGTTGGCAATGGTCACTACTCACTCAATTACATATTTTAAAAATTTCCCTATCAATGATAAATGGTTTTGTCCAGAATGAAAGATGGACAAATCCATTTAAGGTACTATGCAGGGTAAGGCTTTTATTACCAACATTTTTCAAATAAGGAAATCTGTGACATCAACTTATGCTTCAAGACTTTACTTTCAATATGCTGGTAAAAATACAAGTCTTTATTTAGACCCAGTGACCTTGACCCAATTCACCTCAAACCCAATTTGAAGGTAATCATCCATGGCCAAATATGTAAGATATCAGACAAGAAATAAAGTTAGCTATGAGAAAAAGTAAGTAAAATATGACAACCCAGTGGTTATAAGCTCCTCTAAAATTGTTCTAGAAGCATTTAAATTTGAACTTTAAATAGTTAAAATCTTCAAAGCTTGACTCAGTTAAGAAAGTGCAATTTAGTAGTAAGTCTTTACTCCTATATATAAACAAAATTAAACATTTCTATACCAACAACAAAAGTTTGAGCAAAATCACATAAACTTGCCTCAATTGTAATACTTTGAATTGAATATACAAATACTTTTTTTGCAATTTATGATCATCACATAAATGTATTACTTGACAATTCTATACAAAAAGTACTCCCAAAACTGTCCATAAACTGTAATCAGTTATTAATTTCTTAAAAAATATTTTATCTTTGTAAATTTAATTTAATTTCATTACTTAATTTTATCTTAAACAGTGAAATCTTAAAAGTAGTCACAACTGTTAAAACTGTTTTCAGCCTTTGTGATTAAAGGGACTCCACTGAGGTATTTTGACATGACAGGATTGAAAATAATTTTTCAAGATTAATATTCCATCTGATGAAGGTCCAGACAAATAACTTGTGTGCAAAATTTTGTTTTTGTTTACTCACTACGCTATTTCAGAATAATCATTCAAATTGTGCAAAATTGAAAAACGTTGCAACCCCTTTTTGCTTTTCACTCAAATCGGACTAAGAACATAAAGAAGGGCACAAAGAACGATTTTCAACTTATTTTTTTCAATATATTCTTTATAACCTTTTTATATCTTTCTGTTTTAAGTGCCCAAGCTGATCTATGTACGAAATTTAAATTTTATGTTTCTATGATTTTGGACCTCAGTGGAGTTCCTTTAAAGTGTGTTTATTAGCTATTACCTGTGTCACGCAAATATTGAGCAACTATGGAGAATGATGGTGTGAAAAAAATTTAGTTAGGTATGTTGCTGAACAAAAGAAATCTTTATGGATTATTTGTCTATACATGTACATGAAAAAGTAAATGCATTTCATTTTACAAGACACAAGTATGATTAATGACCTTACTGTTTTACTCCTTTGTCATGTTACCATAGTTACAGTAATCTCTATGGAGAGAAGTCTTCCACTCCTCTTACCTAACAGCGGCCCTGATTATGGTGCCACATTATAATAACCAACCTCTCAGGTACACATATTCACCAAAAAAATCAAGCAATACAGGTTGCATTGTTTTCTCTAAGTATCAAGTTTTGTAGCTTTGATAAGACTTGAACCTGAGACCTCCACTGAACCAATGTGCTTCCAATTTAAGTTGATACAGACAAGTGACTGTCATTTAGTGATTTTTCTCACTTAATTGGGAAGAGGCGTTAGCTTTTTGAATTTTGGGAGAAAATATTGCTTAAATTTTCAATTTGGGAAGTAAAAAAGCTGGTGTAAGTTCCAACTTTTGGGAATACTGCAAGTTTTCAACGAAAAAATCAATTAGGAAGAGGCTTTTATAGGCCTCAGTTATATAAGGTGAAAAATCATTGTCATTATTTTTTATTATTTTGAATATGTCTGAAATAATCTCCAGGGTTACTATTAGTGTTTATCACGGTATTTACACGACTTGGAATAATCTACCCCCCTCCCTCCCGCCACCTACCAGTAACATGGAGAAAAACTAAATTCTGGTCTATTTATGATAACTTAATCTTTTGTTGTTTCTTTTATATATCTCTTTTAAAATGGCAACAAAAACACATACAACTTAATACTTCATGTAAGCATTTGGCAAAAAAAAATACAACAACGGTGAACTAATATTCTAATCTAAATGCAACAATTTCTGAACATCAATCATTCAAACAAAGATTATCACTTTGCATGTAAACAAAAGGAAAATCTGACAGAAGAGAGAGAGAAAAAAAAGAGCATCTATAGAATATGGATAAAAATAATATCTAAAAATAACTTTAACAACTTTAACGACGGATTACACATGACCCCAGGAACGAAACAATAATCTGTATCTATACAATAATTTGATGAAAATATTTACAATATCAATGTTTAACCCTATGTCTATTTTATGTATTATAATATTATTCTCCATATTAAATACCTAACTCACTACGTCCTTGTGACGGATTTGACAGAAAAACGAAGACAGATAGAAAATATACTATAAGTGCAAGATGAAATGTACATTTAATCGTCAACATGTGATGTAAAAAAAAAAACTGACCGCTGTTTTAAATTATCGTCCTTTATAAACATTGAGCACTTCTAACACATGATATAAAATGACCATATTCGGATTTTCATCATTTGGTGTTTAATTAAATAACTTAATCCAGTTCATTTTTTTTCATATTGTTTAATATTCGCTGCTATGCATGTTTGTCAAGTTGGTGTGTGAAAATCGTATTTCTTACATGATAAAAGCAAAACAATCAACAGTCAAATAGATTAGTATGTTTCAAAAATCAACGGTAATTTATTGACAAGGTAATTATAAGTTAAACTATAACATACAACTCTTAATTTCGTTCTAACATGTACACTAAGTAAGTTATTTGCAATTGACCAAATTCACTGATCAGTGATGTTTCTAGTTTTTGTTTGTTAAAAGAAAAATGTATTAATCACAAATTGTAATGATGTGGATATTTTACATTTATATGTAATGTAGGGTTATCTTAGTTCAGAAAAAAAAAATCAAAATATGGTCCTTTTTATCATGAAGCAGCTCATAAATATGAAACAAGTGTGAAACTATGTGTTTATGTTTTATGTAATACAGTTGACTAATGGGAAGTAACTCTTTTCTATTTTTCAACTTGACATTTCCTAATTACCTCCCTTAGATGCTTGTTCTTATTGAATAGCAGCAAGTTTAGTTAAATCAGTAGTCAGATCTACATAAAGTAAGCAGAGGGCAAATAAATAACATTTTAATGATGAACTAAAGAATGCCAACTGAAATTAATTTCAATTAATTAATTAAATAATTAATTTCTAAATTCAAAAAGATTTTTTTTTGCTTTGCTTTTTTTTTTGTCAAATTAAAAAAATGAGTCAAAAAGTAACTGTAGCAAACAATGTCAAATGATGTGTAATTTTTAACAATAACAACCAAAAAATGTAATTTTTTTCACAAAAAAAAAAAATGATAAAAAAGAACAATAAAGCAATTCAAAACGTAACAAATAGTATTAAAACTGGTCAAAATTGGATAACAAAGCGGTGGTCTCATCTTTATCATTGCCAGTTAAATCTTTCATCGTATCATCTACACCAGGGAGGTAGAATGCCGTATTCTGTAGGATATCTGAACGTCCCGCATAAATACCTTGTAAATGCCGTTTATTCACATCTGGCGTAACACTAGAGTCAAGGGAATACTGGCCGTCGGGGTTCACACTAGATTTTAAGGAATTGCTGTTCATGTTTTGAGAATGGGGGAAATTTCCCATAAACGGCTGGCTGTAGGACGAGAAGTCTGATTTTTCTGAAAAGTTTTGAATGAACTGTCGCGGACTAAAAGCGTTTGTGCTAACTCCTGGAAATGTTCCGGCTGAATTGTTACCGTAATTTGATGAAAGAGAGGGCTTGTTTGGTGAAATGTCAAAATCGGAAAACATTTCCGATTTTATTTGATTTTCAATATTATCTTTGTTAAACGAATCACTCCTATTAACAGCGTTTCCCATACTTTTTGAAAGACCTTGATTAAAATGATCCGGTTTATTACTACTTTCTCCGAGGAATGAAAAGTCGGTGTCTGTTATTTGAAATCCTGACCAGCGTTTATTTTGAGAATTTTGTTGATATCCTTCAGGGCCAAGATTATTTTGTGAACTTTGAAACTGAGAGGTGTGACCTGTTGACACGGACCTGTGTAAGTTACCCCGGTTATTTCCTTGAGAGTGATCTGAACTGTGAGTGGTGGAGGTGGACGACAGCAAAGCACTTATCTGAGAATTCTGTAATGGCATATTTCTTGCTGAAGTTGGATGCATTGCACCTTGAGATGTGGAAACCCGACTTTTCGGGACTGGAATAGTACCGTAAGGCTGAGAATTAGTCCCGAACCGTTTCATTATTTTCTGTTTTAAGTCTGTTGAGGCAATACTATCAATCTGTTTAGCACTTAAATTTTGATTTATTTTCACACTTTTCTCACTATCCTGATTCAATGAATTTGAAACACTTTCAAAGGGACTGAGGTCTAAATCATCGCTTTCTGTCAACGTGGAGAAATCTGGTGAATTAGTAAAATCAGCAGGCTCAAAAAACCTATCGCCAGGTAAAAAATCTGGCGATCTAGCACTTATAGAATTTCTATTTACATGTACATCACTTTTATCAGGTAGATTAACAAGACTGTCACTTCTAAAAGTACTTCTCGGGAAATTTACTCTTTCATGCGGGTTAGAATGTCTTGAGTCTCCCCCTTCATCATCTATTCTGAACGTTCCCGATATGACACTCGCTCGTGATCGATTACTCGGTAATCCAGGACCCATTTCTTGCTCCGATTTAACACTAACTGAGTTATCTTTTCTGTTTAAAACGTTTTCACTACCTGAAGTCAAGAAATGGAAGTCGCGTGAGTCCACTTCCTGTTTTATAGTTGTGTACTCATCTGCTCCGCCCATTCTGCTGTCACTGTTATTCATCGAAGCATCAGCGGGTGACTGGCCTGTGTCGTAACTTTGACTAGGTGTTACCGGAACCCCTGAATTTCTTGGACTATTGCCAACTGAGGGTCCTATAATCGGATCATGCAGCCTCGAGTGTTCCATAAATTTTCTCCGCACTTTGAATGTTTCCGAACAGAAATCGCATGAGAATGAACCAAAGTCATTATCGTGAGTAGCAACATGTAGGGACAAAGAATCTGCAAGGAAAACAATCAACATAATTAAAATCAACAAGCATGCTTTATGGACTAATAAGTTAATATGGATTGGAATAATTGAGAAATATTTTAATTTTAGAAAATTCTTGCTTTAAAGTGTCAAAGATGTTTACTAAAGTTAATAAGCCTATCTCAAATTGATAAAGATACATTAGTAGCAATTAATTTTGGCAACATTGCACGCAGAAATTTGTAAGCATTTCGCAGACAAGCTTTTGAAGTAATATAATACAATCACACATTTACCAAAATACCATTTTCAAATTAAAATGGAAATTATCTTATAATGTTCAGTAAAGTAAAGAGATGTGAATCTTGCCAAAGAAATAGTGTAGTTAAATTCTTGCCCTGAAGACATGTTAAAGGATATCCTGTACATGTTTATCTAATGAAATCCTTTGAGGTACATGTAAACATATTTGTTCCCATTAAGTTGTTGTCTATTTGTGAAAGAGTTGTAAAATAGAATGTTTCTGCTATTTTAACACACATGAATAGTGTTTGTACACAATGAAATATTCCGGAATTAATAAAAATGATGATAGTAGGGGTTTCAAGCAGAACGCCTCCAGATTCATGCTAATTTGAAAATGTATTAAACAGTACAATATTGTGAAATTACCTAAAGGATGCAATTAACACATTAAAAATGGCACTTACAACCCATGTAAATTACCATAAAGAGCAGGGTGTCCATTTGACCCTTGAAATGACTCTTTGACCCTTCAAATTTCTAAAAGACCTGATCTGACCCTCAGGATTTTAACTGGAGGGTCAAATTTTGTTAAAAATCATGGGGATTTGATCTTGTAGTTGGTAAAACTTAGTCAAAATGACCCTCAGGATTTCATGGCTAGTGATCACCCTGACTAGAGGTCAAAATTTGCAGAAAAAGCCCTTACTGTGTTAGTAACACAGTAGAAATATAGTTATAAATACTGAAAAATCAGTCATGAATTGCACATAAGATGTAAATTATGTATTTATTACCAGAATTTTGAATCTTTATACACTGAACTTTTCTTAAATTCTTAGTACAGTTTTCTCAGGTTTGATTTTATCCAAATTTATTGCTTATCTGGAGGTGTGCAGCTTTAACAGATTATTAATGATTTTGTGCATGCACCATTGCTTCTTAATATACAAATGTATTTTTTTCTTACTTCTAGAATAATTCCTTTTCAAAACTTAAGCAATAACTTTCATAATAACCATTATCAAGACCTAGAACAAAACTACACATGTATATCTTACTAGAAGCAAGGCCTTATCCAGCTTAGTCTGCTATTTTAGGAAAAGGACCCTGGTTTAAATTGGGATCAAAAATTAAGCATTTTTGGAAATTTTATAGATTAAAAAAAAAAAAATTAATGTAAGTTAACTAACTTTTATATGGCTTTTTAGTAGGTTTTTTTTTTTTAAAAGTGTATGATTGTAATTATAACCTTCCACTTCTTATGAGAAACAAATATAAACAGTTTCAATTTTTCTTAGAATTTAGAATTTTTTTGATTTTTGTGTGCTGTTTTTGGGATTTCTTTTTTAAATTGGGGAAAAAAAGAGTGACTAATTCGAATAAAGAATGAGCCTGCTTAAAATGCCCTGATAATGAATATGAGTACTGTATGAAAGACTTAGTGTTTTAGGCCCGTACATGCCCATAACAAAACTTCAACCATTATTTCATTTGCTGAATAGGTACATAATGTAACATTAACTTTTGATAATAATAAATAATAATTCAACAATCTAACTGAAGTTCAGATAGTTTCAACGATTGTTAATCATTTTAAACAATTTAAATGATTGCTAATCACTTCAAACAAAATACCGTCTGATCAATAAGCAAAAAAGCAAATCATTTTACCTTGATCCTGAAACTCTGTTTCACAGATTTCACAAGCCAACTGTTTCTGCTTGTCTACTCCCATGCTACACAGGTGCGTTTCAAGACTATGCTTGTCCTCGAAGATTTTAGTGCACACGTTACACGCCAGAACACCGAGGTCATGAGTCTTGATATGTTCCGCATAGAGCATCTCGTCACAAAATTCCTCATAACATTCACTACACACGTAAACATTTTTCATAGGGTCCACACAATGGTGATTATCCAAGTCAATTTTCTTGTCAAAGCCTATAGCACATTTCTCACACCGTAATAACTTTCCACGACTTCTGTAATGAAGTTTCATATGCATTCCTAAGCATTCTTTTATCGTAAATGCCTTTTTACATAAATTGCACCTTTCCACTTTTTCGCCACAATGCACTGCCTTGTGCCTTGATAGCTCACTACTAGTGATACATCGCTTTCCACACTTAGAACAACAGTATGGCCGGTCACCAGTATGGAGTCTGCGATGCACATTTAACTGACTTTTATCTGAAACACGTTTGTCACAGAATTCGCAAGCGTACGGTTTTTCACCAGTATGTGTTCTCGTGTGCTTGTTGAGGTCAGTTTTACGTTGGAACCGTTTATCACATATCTGACATGGATATGGTCTCTCGCCCGTATGAATCATGATATGACGTCTCAAGTCACACTTTTGTCCGAAACCAACATTACAATACTCACATATGTGTTTCTTTTCCTTCAGTTTTGCACGCTTATTTGATTTACCACTAAGTCCACTGTCATTCTGGTCATCCTCCCCCTCATTAGAGTTGGAATTTGACTCCTGTCCCATACTATCAACACTCTTAACATCTTCGATCTTTTTCACATCATTAGATTCAAGTTCAGTTACAAACTCGCTGGGTTTAAAAGAAACATCATCCATTTTCTTATCAAATGAATCCTTATTTTCACCAATTTTCTTATCATTAACACTATCAAATGAATCCCTACTTTCACTATCATATTTCTCCATCGCATCTTCTTTTCGTTCTTTTTCTCGTTTTCTTTTCTTCTTCTTATGCTTATGTTTTTTCTCTTTGAAAGGTATTATTTTCGTTAACTTAATTTTCAAAGGTTCAACTGTTTTTCTCTCATATGATATCGAGGCATCTGCATTTTCACTTTCAGATTCTCTTTTCTCCACAGTTTCATCTACAACCTCTGGCACAGTTTCTGAGTTTTCATTAGATTGTAAAGTTTCTACAGGGGACATTGGCTTAGAAACAAATGGGAGTTTCTTTTGCCCAAACAAATTCAAATTACTCACATACTTTGGCTTAAATCCCAATTTCTTCGGACTTTCTTCAGAATCACTCATTTCAGTGTCAGTAAAATCATACACATCACCTTCTTTCTTAGCTTGCTGTTGTTTTAATGTATCAATCACTTCTAACTTTGATTTTCCTTTTGAACCCTTTCCTTGAGCCTTAGAACCTTTTGGAGTTGTTCTACCTTTAGGAGTAACATTAAACCCTTCATGCAACAATTTAATCTTATCAAGTTCATCCTCAGAGTCATCTAGATTGTATTTCACATTTTCATTAATTCTTTTCCTTAGATTTTTAGATTTAGCAGTTTCACCCTCCTTTTGTGCCTCTGCCATAGCTTCATTAACAAGCCTCTGAAATTCATTTTCAACACTGTGCTTCACTTTCTTTTCTACTTTACTCTCCTTACCAAATGCTTTTTCTACATTAAGATTAAGTTCTTTTTCCTTTTCCTGCACTTGAAGTTGAACACTATCTGGCACTATACTGTTGGTGTTAAATCCAAAATCCATACAACTACTTTTGTCCTCTAGTGATTCCACACCAGAGTTGTCTTTGTAAACTTTATCAAAAGGTACGCATTCAGTCAATTCAGTCACTGGTGTATTTTGTACTGTTATCTTTTCTGATGTTTCTGATTTTTTATAGTTTGATTTGCTTTCAAAACTTGTTTCAGGTATAACAGCTTCCCAAGTATCAATCTCATACACATGTTTAAATTTCTTTTCCATATTCTGATCTTTTACAGGCTCTTCTATGAATGATTGCATTTCTTGAGTTTCATTTACAATATTTGTATCATCCTTTATTTCTTCCTCAGCCATATTTCTTTCTTCTGTTTTACTGTGCTTTTCATCATTTATCTTTGTTTCAATGTTCTGATCAACAATTATTTTTTCTTCCATTTTATTTTCATTTTTATATTCCTCAATTTTTGGATCATTATAAGCATCTATTGCCTTTTCATCACCTTTACTTTCATTCAATTCCTTTTGTATTTCTCTATTAGCTTTAAGCTCTTTTCTTGATTCTTTATCAAGTTTTTGCTCTTTTTTAGCCTCCTTATCATTAGATTGTCCACTATTACTTGCTGCCTCATGTTTTCTTTTCTTTGGATTGAACAACTTAAATGCCTTTTGAAAGTTTGGACCGAGTTTTAATTTCATAGTTACTTTTTTATCAGTATTATCAGTAGAGGTTATACTAACCATTTGACTTTCATCCCGTATGCTTATTTTCTGAGTATGATCAATATTTTCAAATATATTACTTTCTTTTCTACTACCCTTTTCATGCCTATTTCTACTACTACGTTTTCCAACCTTTTGAGGTACATTACTTCCTTCTTTATGATCTGCATTTTCTAATTCCTTTTTATCACCTTTATACTTAATAACGTTTTCTTTAATGTCTACTGATTGTTCTGCTTTTTCACCTGAATGAACATCACAAACTTCCATTTTCTCATGAGTATATGATAGTTCTTTTTCTTCCAGGGCCTCCTTATTGCTTTCATCTGTCTTTTTCATTTTATCACTTTTAATTTCTGACTTTTCAGATACAATTTCAGAATCATCTACATCCATTTTAGTTCCTAATTCTTCGGCTAAACTTTTACCAAGAGAAATAACTGATTTACTCTCTTTAATATCCATTTTGTCAAAAAGGCTTCTTGCTTTTATATCATTATATTTTTCCCCTAAATTAACTGAACACTTTTTTATACCTGACTTTTCTGGTGTGGTCTTAATTTTGCTTTTACTTCGCGTAACCTTTTCTTCAGATTCAGAATTAATTTTTGTCATGGAGTCAGAGCTTATTTTTGTTTCAGAGTCAATATTAGCTTTTGGTTCTGTATCAGGAGTTACAACTGTGACAGATTCTTCAGTCTTCTTCACTTTGACTTTAGAATTGGAGGCATCACCAGTTCCAGCAGCTTTGATACTTCTCTTTCTTAGATTTTTTCCATCTGTATTCTCTACATCATTCTTAGAATTTCGAGTCCGTGGAGTTGATTCAGCATTTTCTTCATTTCTTGCACTTCTTGTGCGTAAGGATGATTTTATATCTTTCTGCTTAGTTTCATTCTCATTATCTTTGTCATTTTCATTACTTTGTTTGTTAACAATTTTACCTCCTTTAGATTTACCTTTTTCACCTTGCCCATCTGTTTCTTTCTTTTTCTCTGATGAGTCAACTTCTTTCTTTTTTTCTTGATGTCTTGTTACTATTTTTGCTTGGTCTTTACTTTTAATTTCTTCCTTAGAATCATTTACTTCCTTCTCTGTTACTTCTTCGCCATCTTCTTTACCAGAGATGTCCTTTTCAGCATTTTCAATTGCTTTCTGTTTAGTTTCTGGTTTCTTTGTCTCAGCTGTTCTTGACCCTTTACTAGCCAATGTTGCAAAATCTGTTTTTGTTTTTCTTTCTCTTAAATTAAATGTTCTTTTCTCAGGTAAAGGTGGTTTCGGCTTTGGACGGTAAGTCTTAGGTGGAGACGTTGTTTCTATGTTCGCTTTGGGTTTACCTTCTAATAATGACTGCCTATTCAAATATGGACCATATTCAATTTTTTTCCTTTTAGAGACTTGGACAAGAATTGTTTGAGGTTTATCATCAGCTGGCGGAGCTTCTGTTTTTTCATGAACTCTTACTTCAGTTACTTTTTCAGTCTGCTCCTTACGTTTCTGTTCTTGTATTTGGAAATATTTTCTTATCTTCATTAACTTTCCTACCTTAGGAATTTCAAAATCAACATGATCATCGTCTTTCTTTTCTTCAGATTCTACTGTTGAAGAGACCTTTGGTTCAGTATTTGATACTGAGGTAACAGTGCTTGTTGCAGTCGCAGATGAAATAGTCACTGAAGATGAAGTGGCTGTTGATGTATTAATCAAACTACTGAGACGAGCATTTTCAAGTTCAGTTGATTCTTTTTCTATTCTTTCTTTCTCCTGCTCTAAAATATCAGTAATAATACTTTTATTCATTTCAAACTCTTCAGGTGGATTGAAGGTTGATTCATCCACTTTTACACTTGTTTCAGGCTTCTCAACTTTACTTTTAGAAGAATCTTCCATAACAGTTTTCAGAAAGTCATCATTTTTCATAAAATCGTCCATATGAGTTTTATTTTTCATATCTTCTTGCTTTTCATTAAATTCATTCAATAAATCCTCAATCTCAGAATACCCCTTATCTATGATTGGCTCACTTTTAGTGTCAATGTCCTCTATTAAACGTTCAAGATTGTCTTCATCATTGGTGTCACTGATTTTATCATAATCCTGATTCATAATCACACCGTTCTCAAAGTATATTTTCTGTTTCTGATCATCAAGTCCTCCAGCTGTTGAAGAGCCTGGTTTATTAAAATCCCCTGCTAAATTAAATGTTGGATCGATAAACTTTTGAGTAAGAGCGTTAAAGTACCCTGTTCCTAGTGGATTTACAGCTATATCCATGGCAGGTGTAGTAAGGGATGTGAGACCACCAGCGTTACTTGTAGCCGTAGTGCTGAACACTGGTGGTGTAGATGATGGCACATTTCCAGTTGGCAGAACCTCAACTGTAGCTCCTCCAAATAAATGAGGCTTTAGAGATAGAGATGTAGAATCTGTGTCAACGGCACTAGGAGGTATGGCTGGAGAGACTTTCGGTGAAACCATTGCCCTCACAGAATCTGCTCTAAATGGTGCAAAATCTCCTGGCAATGTTGGTCTGGGTACTGGACTTGAGCTCTGACTATGATCTAAAGATGCCTGATGTATTGGCATCTTAATCATAGAATCAATGTCCTTTTTCCTTGCAGATTGACCTGCCTTTGGTGAGACATTTAACGGATCCATATCAGAAAAATATTGTGACTTAGAAGAGAGTTTATCATGATCAAGAGGGACAATCTTAGCAGGTAAATCTGAGTTTCTTTCCACAGGTACAGAGGTAATCTCAGGGTCCTGAAACATTCCAAAGTGCCGAATGTCCCCACTTGATGTGTTTGGGAGAGTTTGAGGAGAAGTAAAGAGATTCTCGTTATTGCTGTGGTAAGAGATTTTCTGCGGTGTGGAGAGAACATCTAGAAGTGGAGGTTTAACCGGCCCTGATTTCACTGGAGATAATAAATTGTCTGATGTAAAATGAGTGTTTGATTTTGTCACATAGCCAGCAGTAACTGAAGAATCAACGGAGACAAATGGCTGAAACAGTTTTTTAGAGTCCTTGTTTACAATCCCTCCAGAATCTGAAGTTGAAGTATTACTCTTCTTTGACAACTGGCGCTCAAACACAGGGGGACCAGCTTTGATTGGAGACGGTAAAATAAGGGACTCCAGGGGATCTATGTGGGAAGCTGTTGATGGGAACACATCTGTTGGAATCTTACTTTGTGAGGGCTGAGCATTCGGAGATTTATGTGTTATGAGCTCCATTTTTTGTAAATCTTTGGGAAACGTTGATATATATGTGGAGCTCGAATTTTCCTGAGGTTTAAACGTCCCAGGGCCTGAAGGTCTCTGTATGGGTGGGGCAGCACTGGTAATACTGGAGGTACTTGTTGACTTAATATTCTGAGATTTCTGCTTCTTTTCTTTTGGTCTAACACTTGGGTGCTGGGGAAGACCCATGCTAGGTAGAGTGCCAGGGATAAGACCTGAAAAATATAGAACATTATCTTAACATCAGACTTCATGTAATTACAAACCTGGTCTATTCCAGCACTTAAAGATATACATGTGTATTATGCTAAATTTTGATATTTGAAAATAATGATAATTGCAATATATATTTTTTTTTTCAATTTATGCAAAATTAACAACTTTTGAGTACACACCATAACATGGAGAAGATAATTATGTTATGTTTTAAACTTTACATACTTTGTAACTACAGGTAAAAAAACTATGAATACATAGTGTCATGTAAAATTTGACTAAGAAAGGACCAAAATTAACAGTAGTAAGGAATGCACTTTCTAAGCAGGGTTTGAGCATTCTGTAAACATTTTAATTTTGACATATTCTTAGAGGTTACTACATAGCAAAATATTTCTGCAAGAAAAGTATTTTACCAAAAGATGAGCATAGAATATCTTGAAATTTTCAAATTTCATATTCAGTTTCATTTTTTTAGCTATTTATGCTTACTGCGTTAGTGTAGATCACAGTCAGAAACAATTCAACTTGAAATTACAATATTTGTAACATTCATGTTAACCTTTTACCCCATGAGCTTATTGCGAAAAATGGCCGTTTTCATTGAAAAGCCTCCTGTTACAAGTTCAAACTGCTATGAAACTATGAAAATGCTTCAATACTGATGAAACTTGGCACAAATGTTGACTACACCATAGCCTCTGTAACAGCATGCTCAATCGTAAATTTCCTGTTACCATGGCAATGGGGGGATGTCTCAAAATTGCCAAAAATCACTATTTTGCATTGTTGTTTTTTTCCATCAAAACTGATTTCAAAGTGCTGCAACTTCTCAATGAATTGAGATAGAGTAAAAGGCTTTTCAGCGCCGGTTACTAGTTACCCTAGGATCGACCTGAGGCCATTTTTAGCCTGTCACATATCCAAAGTTTTCTTGGCGATGAGGGGGACTCCGCCCCCCTTGAAACCCCCCAAACTTGGCACATCCCCATTCTGGAAACCCCCTGATGTAACATTTGGATGGGGGACCGCGCCAAAAAAGTGGTCACTTTTTTAACAACTTTTCTCAAACGAAAACCAGTGTTTGGGGCCTATATTGGGCATTTTTTCAGTGTTTGAGGCCTCAAAAAGGGGGGGGGGGGGGGGGAAAGCCGTCGAAACACGCTTATATGAGGGAAAAGGTTAATGCATATCTTTCATTGTCTTGGTTAAACCAAACTTAGCTAACAACAAGAGCTAGGGATGTCATGTTTATCTGTTTAAACGGGTAGGGTCGGTTTTTAGCTAAAAACTGGTTAGAAATAGTATTTGACAAAGTTATAAATTGATTCTAAATATTACCTTAGTTTTTTTTATAACAAGATATGACAACTGTTTGTGTTTTAGTTGTACTCGACAATGTATTTTTTCCAATCTGATTGAAAACAGTACGATCCTTGCAGAAAATAGTGACTCCATATCCGAAAAGTATTGTAATCATTTAGTTGTTGATTACAACAAAATACGAACAAAATGGCATATCTTGTCATAAAGAAACAAAGGTAATGTTAAAAATCTAAGGATTTTAAAAGTATGGTCTGTTTAACTTCAACGTTTAACACGGTTAAAAAAACCTGTCAAAAACCATTTTAGAGTTATGGGCCTAAGACAGTGACCTTCTATTATGCTTTCAAATACGTGCTTGAAGTTTCAACTAACAGCCTGGATAATGTGGAATATTCTAATACGACCCGCATTTTTCCCTATTGAACATAGAAGAACCAAAAGTGTATGTTATTATGCTATAAAATCACTGACATGTGATGTAATCATTATACACGTTGCGTAACTACTAAAAATGTGAAGCGCTGACAATCAGTATGGAAACAAATCAGGTGCAATTAAGCTTAATATCAGGTAACGCAGAATTCATTTGTTGATGTTGTGTTAGAATCGAAATAATATATATCCAAATCGGTGATTTTATTGCTTTATAAAATCACTGTTTGTCGTTGGGATGCACATCATTATATCACTTGGGCTACGCCCTCGTGATATAATTCCCTGCATCCAAACACCAAACATTGATTTTATTGAGCGATAAATACACAGTTTGGGATATATTATTTCACAATTCTAAGTTCAAATAGAGCCACGATTCACACAAAACCCTTGTTAAACTTATGGGCTTCGGAAAGTGATTGCCAAATAAATGTGAAGTTTCAACCTTATGAAACCTTATCCAATCTCAAAAACTTAACCAAAGTGTAATCCTGACGGTGAAGCCAAGGTGAGTACAAATAGCTTCGAATAGTCAAGCTGAAAATATATATAAGAGTACATCTATGAATCACATACATGTACATGCAAGTGTTCAAGATAATTCCTGGCAGATTAATCTTTAGATTACCTTGAGATATCAAGTGCGGAGGCATTGAACCGGCTGAACCGGAGAATATGGCTTGCTGTGATACCATAGGCATTCCAGAACCAGTGGACAGTGGATGCTGGGATACCCCTCCCATCAGATCTAATATAGTGCTTGGTGTAGGCATACTAATCCCTGTAAATAAAAAAAGTTCATATTCTTATTTAAAACATACTTTTTCAGGAGAGTAAGTACTGAAATATCATAGACGATAGTGAATTATATTTCAGACTTAATTATTATGCGTAGGGCGTCCATAGCAAAGTGGTTAAGGTTGTTGACTTCAAACCTCTTGCCTCTCATCTACAGTTGTACATGTAGGTTTGATCCTTGCCAGTGTCTTCACATTCTTTCATGTGAAAAAGCTATCCAGCTAGCTTACAGAACGTGGGTGGTTCTACTCAGGCACTGCTTATGCCTGAAATAATGCATGGAAGAGCACCTGAGGCCATCCTCCATCAGTAAAGCTGGAAAGGCACCATATGACTTATACTGTGTTTGGTACGACATAAAACCCAACCAAAAAAAGAAATTATAATAATTATGATGCATAATATCATATGTACATAGCCAAAATGTTTGAATACAAAAGAATTTTAGTCATACTACAATTGAAAGCAAAAGAATAACATCTATATTAATTAAATCTATGGTAATTTCAGCAGAAAATTAACTCTATTCAGTCAATTGAATGTTAAATTTTATACAAAAACTGCAATCAAATACACTTACTCCAGAATTTAGAATATTTTGGGTTTTCCCAGCTAATCCAAGGGTACAAACAAAGTTTTACTGTTACAACTTCAAAATTAAGTGCAACAGGTTGACTTATCTATTGTGAATGGAAGTGCATCATGAAGTAATAATGGTACAATTTTGTGTGTGGACTAGGGGATTAGCTCGGAAAAACTAGCATTTGCTGAGTTAACAACTATTTCAACATTGCTACCTTAATGTTAAAATGTAACAAAAATCTATAAAATTGAATAAATTTGTTTTTTTTAAATGACATTATTACATCAAAACTTGTGACCTCACGAAGGAAAGTGTGTGATGCTTGACTACAATTGAACTTAAACCATTAAAACACAAGAGCTGCCCATAAGACTTCTCAATGATTTTTATGTGCATCAAAACTTCACACCATGTAACCTTATAATTATGTCAATGTATTCAAATACTAAATTGTATAATTAGTTATATATCAGTCACTGTCGGAACCCATGGTACACATTCTGCATATACTACATTTTACGGTAAATAGCCTAGGTTACCGAGTGTATGTCATTGTGCTAACTTGTTTTAATTGAATTAGCTTACAAGCATGTTGTCTGCCTTTTTTGTTCACATTCCAATTCAAATTTCATACCTGGGTCAGGTGGAGGCTGGTTCCCCAAAATTGCATTGGCAGACAGAATATGAAGCTGCATGTGGTGCTGATAAGCCAGCGTGTTGTTGAACATCACCCCACACAGCGGACACCCCTGAGCCATGTCGTCCAGGAATGCTCCGCCCCCTGGAAACAGTTGATTATCCATGATGTCACGATTTACGTACTGTACCAAACAAACAGCTTAATAAAAACCTGTACAGCCCTTTTTTCAAGGAGCTTATTGTACAGTTTTACGACCGCTTTCTTCAATGCTTAATCAACATAACTTCACTGCGTCCCTCGCTACTGTAGTCATTTACAGAGGACTATATATCACTTCAGTAAATTCTCGATCACTATAAACATGTCCTGCGATCTTCACAACTCACATGTTGTTGTTGTTGTTTTTATTCCATTTCATCCATTGTTCGTTCAGATTATCTGAACATGTTTTAACAGAAAAAGACGTTTAAATCTGAAATAACTTTGACGACTAGCTTGTGAAAACTGTATCTCTGTTTGTGTCTGTTTAGATATAGCTAATAAGTTTTTGTGCAAGCCACTGTCAAGTAATTTCCTCTCACCTGAAATGAAGCAAAAGAGAAAAAGTTTTAAATTTAAGGTAATTTAAAAACATAACTGGATGAAATGCCTTTTATTTTCAGAAATACACATCTGGGTCAGAAATTGTTATCACATTTACAATCTCATTAAAATCTGCTCTGTTATTGTACACGTCCTAGTGAAAGTAGTGCAATAACATGCCAATACATAAATAGTAGAAAAAGCAGAGGAAAAGATACGAATACCATGTTTTTCTTATGACTTAGCCCTAAGATCAGAGCCTACAGGTATCCTTCAGGTACTACTATATATGCTAAGTAATCTGTAATATGTTAGTCATATGTGGATTTTTCATTCCTTTAATAGTATCATTGCATGATATGATATTTACATTACTGAACCTGAAATGTTGTACAATTTTACATGAGTGAAATATGGTAGAAAAACATCTATAACATTACAATGATTGTCAAAAGAGCTACTACTGAATTAAGAACATTTTTGTGTTTTCGTGGATGATCCTGGGGTACAAACAAACTTTTACTTTGAAAATAAGCACAACAAGTTAACTAATCTATTGTCACCGGTTGTGTGCCATGAAGCTAAAAAAATAAATAAACTTTTCTGTTTTCAAGTCGGGAGCATTTCATTTATGTGAACACCAACATGTTGAAACTTACCTGCCTTACTATAAATCTCAAATGGCTTAGCAAAATGATAAGAATTCTATATCATTAAAAACTTTGTTATGTGAAATAACCCTATTCAGTCTTATTCCCTACTTTCTGAATGCAATAAATTGTGCTGAATGTCTGAAAGTAATCCAAATAACTTAAGTATCTATATAAGTATGAATGCTTACTTTGATATAAAATAAAACCAGTATTTCAGATTTGTTTATTCCCTTGGGAACACCCACTGAGTCATTCTAAATCTTACATAAAAAGTGGAATTGCAATTATCATTTTCAAATTTATTATCCATTTTGTAATGGATTTTGTACAATTAGTCTACATTTCTTCAATTCTGATAGTCGTTGTAACAACTGATCTCTATAAGTCATGATAAATGATCATAATAATCAAAACAAACAATTTTCATTCACAGGAGTGGCCAATTAAGAGAATTTCATTAAAAACCACCAAAATACTACACTTTTCAAATTCTTACTTAGCCATTGGCACCATACATTTCGATCATATGTTTAGCTTGCATCAACTTAGCTACTTATAGTATGTATAACACTAGTATACAATGTTTGCAACGTAAACTAGTTCATGTTGCGTGTCGCGAAAACTAGTGACACATAACGTGTTGACAGATTTCTTTGCATAATTTCTTTAAACCGCAAGATCCGTGATATTAACTTAATGTCCTGGATTCTACAAGGTATAAAAATATCAGAAATGTGAATATTTTATGAAAATCCTGTTTAAAAAAAGTATAATACCTATTTTTCTCAATATGCATAAAGAGCCAGGCGAGACGAAATTTTGTAAGGCGAGACACTGACCCCTTTACACGGAGGACTGAAAAATTAACTGTCGCCATTTTTTGGACCAATTTTTATGACAATACAATCTTTGAGTAAAAATATTTTGTTTGGCGTCCATTATTTCAAACAATATATTTGATAAAGCAGTGAATTTTGATGATTTTCATGGTTTATTTTCATCAAAACAAAAATGGCGTCAATTGAAAGGGGCGGTTATAAATGACAGCCATATTAATATTGATTACGTCCCTTTGCAAACAGGAAGTCACGTTCATCATGAGTTCCCGATATAAAATTACGGCCAATCAAACAATTTCGCAAGACATAGTAAATAAATAAAAAATATCAAAAACTCATCAATGGAATTTAGAACGAACTGAGAAATTATTGCCGTCTGCAATGTTTTGTCGTGGTTGCGTTAATTTATGATTATGATTTAAACCAGAGTCTTTCATTATAATCCAAAATATTTATGCTCCATTAAAGAGAAAGCCTCGCTATATATTTATACGTACATGTATGTAGCTATATTGTTAGTTTTTTATTAACATTTATACAAGAAAATAAACGTCTATATAATTATAAAAATTAATTAAATAAATTCACATAATTAGTTGTATATCATGCAGTCATTAGGTAATATTTTGCTTAAAGCTTAATATATTAGGCAGAGATGTTAACGTTATCTGTACATTAATTTTACATGTATTTATACATGTCAAGATGGCTTGGGCTGCCATTACACATGTTTTCTGTAATTCATGTTTTGCATGATAATACACAGGGCCTTTCTATTCTGGTAAAAACATTTGATTTTTATCGCTTGATAGTTCTAAAAACTGTCGAGGATTTGCTGGTCCCAAACTCGATCAAAGTCCTCGTTTTTTTTCGTGTGATACTTTGGTAATGACTGGAACATTTGGTTTTGACATATTTATTTAAGCTCGATTGCGAAATAAGTTCTTGCAGCATATTTTAATCACTTTCAAGTACGCTTCCTGGAACCAAAGAGTACTGGTGCCATGTGAAGAAACATGATCGTGACCCGAGTAGGACTCGAACCCATGATTCCTGGGTTGAGAGGCAGACAACTTAACAACGAGACCAACCCTTTCATTAAGTGAAGCGGTGGCCGGTAAAGTTAGGGATGCGTTCAGACCTACAAATGATTTGTCGGATTTAATTTGAATAGTGCAAGATATTTTTGTTTAGGCCTATTCGTTTTATTTATAGATCACGTCATTAGACCCCGGATCAAATTACATAGATCAGAGGCATATTATATAAGAGTGCTGTATATAGAGGCTCTGCATAGATATTTAAATAATCAAGTGACAGTAGATCCGAAGGAATATTAGGAAGATATAATCAAACCTGTGTATAAAGGCCATCCACAGGAGAGACCATACATGACCTCTATTGACAAATGTTCTTTAATCAGAGTTTATTCTGTTGTGTTTTTATCAATATAGGTTGGTGAAATATTGGTCTTTATTCGGAGGTCACATGTGACCTTTAAGACAGGTTTTACTGTGTAGCTTAGTATAACTTCATTTAACCAGTTTGGCTACTTACAACAGTTAGGCTATTTTAATAAAATTTTGGTGAGGTCGGGATAGGTCATATGGCACGTGCACTGGGTGATTTTAAAATAATGGTCTAGGACAAACAGCATATTAAGTGTAACTGCAGATCTAGCTCGTATTTTTGGGTCAAACAAAATGTATACTAACAATACACTTTGTTTAAACAACGTTACTAAAATGTTATGGTATCAAATAACAATAAATCAATCTGTATTGATATAACACAGTTATGTTAAATTAGGACGCCAGTTAGTTTTTCAGTCACATCAATACATCTGTACACATGTATATATGTTGTTAACAGATAATTAGATCTATTTTTGTATAAAATATGTAATCAGCGTTATCAAAGTAAAACTTTGTACACTTTTAACCGTCCAACGCGGAATTTGTGCAATTTAGTATGTAACAAATATTCAGTGTACAAACTTACTGAACCAGTTATATATGTATGATTATATCCTTCTCTGTTATATATTATATATGTCATTAATATTCATACGTCAGTAAAACCAAGTGTTTACACATTTAAGAATATTTCATCTATAAATAGTACATACATGTACAAATCCGGCAAGTGTCATTACTTGACAGTACTTAATATAATATTTAAATATATCTATTTCTTTATTTTTAAAATTTTTACATGAAAAAGGAGGAATTTAAGCCGATATTTCACAAAATTAGCGCGGATTGGAGTTGGCTTGTGTCAGGCCAGCCTATCTGAAATACTTTAAAGGCACACTATGCCTCAAAAATTCATATTTTTTGTAATCTTTAAAAATGTAAAATATTTGTTCAATAATGCTCTAATAATGAATTTAGAGCATTTGAGACATTTAATAACTGAAAACATGCAGTACATAATGTGTTGTAAAGGTAACAAAATGTGAACTAAAATGTAAAGTAGTATTTTGACTTCCATTCAAAATACTCATTCACTATAATTATACCAGTTGTCAAGAGAACGAAAGTAGTTAAAATATTTCATGAACCTGGCAGACCAGTATATTTTCGGAAACTGTAACAGCATACCAAAAGTTGAAAGTTTCTAAGAAATAAAATTGATAGCATTTCTGAGGCTTAGTGGGCCTTTAAACTTTGAATGGACTTTAGAGCGAATCTATTACACTAATAGCTAAACACTTAACCAAAAAAGCTCTATGCTATGCTAGCTTAACTTAAAAATACAAGAGCAAACAATTTATACTACGAAAGATCAGTGATGACATTTCAATTTCATGCAATATGAATTCTTGGGTTCATCTTCACGAATTCACAATTTCAACTTCACGAATTCATGATTCCTACGTACAGAATTCGACACGTGAACTGTATATTGAAATTGTGAATCCATGAAGTGCAATCGTGAATTCGTTAAGTTAAAATTGTAAATTCATGAAGTTGAAATTTTGAATTCACCAGGACGGACGAAGTGTAATACACGAGTATATATTACTAATAAGTAATAACACGTGATACCATCAGGTTTAGAAAAGTATGATTTATTTATGTCAATATAAGTATTTATATGATGAAAATAATTTAAGAACTTTTATTTATTTAGTTTATTTAGATAAATAATATCATTTAAAACTTCAGGGTAAATGTAAATATCCAATAGCTTTCGAATTTACAACAGTTTTAGATTATCTTACCTTGCCTACTTACATAGAACATTAAAACTTCATTGGCTGTCAAACCCGACGGGCAAAATACAAAACCTTCCACGGAGCATCAAAAATGTACTCCTCCACGACAACGTGAAATTTATTCCCGACTATAATAAGAGCATAAACGCATCTAAAAGAGGCAATACTCTGTAAAAATATGACCCTTATTTTTTAAAGAGTTGTCTCCCTTCCATCATTTTTCTTATAAGGAATGGGGTTACAAGGGAAGATAAGTGAATCGTGCATATTGGCGTGTAACTAACATAGTTTCATTTCATTTCCCTTTTAAATAACTTGACATTCTAATGATGAAATTGCATATTTCAATGTATATTTAAGACAAGTACAGGCATCTTGAAAGGTACAACAAACTTACAGAGACCACTAACCGAAAGTTTTTACAGGATCTTCCCTTCTACCATGAATGAAGCCCAAAACGACGATATTCAACACTTATAATGCAGCTAGATTTTAGTGGACAACTTCGACTTATGCCTTTATAAAGTATCTCTTTTTATACTTACCCTGCTGTCACACATATTACATTTGCAGTTCTCATGAATACTGTCACGTAATAAATTCTTCTGACCATTTGTCTTGATGCTCTTCTGATGATTAGTCAAAGAATTTGTCTGATAAAATCAAAATAGTTTTCTGCATAATTATTGTTGTTTTGCTTGTTTACGGGATGACGATTCAAGTTAAAAATAAATTTATCCTGTTAACCCAAAGTTCACCAAATCTTTTTTTTTGGTACACTGACCACTTGTCTCGTAATTAGGTTACCCTCGTGACAGTTCACGTGCGCTTATTTTGCCTCATTTATCTCTCAAATAATTATAAGTTAATTAATTCCGATATCATTGAATTGGAACGCTCTAATTAAGATACGAGGCAACTCCATCCATTATTTCAATAGCTATAATTGTTTTATTGTATTTGTCTATTCAGCTTTAAGCAGCATGCCTCAAGATTCATGTTAATTTTCATAAAATATTTGAGAATTATTTTCATAAACTATTTGAGAATGTATTTAAAAAGTAAACTATTGTGATGAAAAACAAAGAAAGAGAATTACACATTGCAAGCGGCACTTACAAGACACGTAAAATAATATGCAATAATAGTCCTCACTGCGTTAGTCACGCATTATTATGTTGATAAATAAACGGTAAAATAAGTCATTTATGCATATACAAGTAACATGCACATAATAACTTAATCTTGAATCATTTTCCTCAAATTTGATTTTCAGTCGAAGTCATGCAGCTTTAATTTGAATTATACTCGTCCATTGAGAATTGCGAGGCCATTGCCGACTGTCAGTAATTTTTTGACATAATTTATATGTCAATAATAAAATGTGTTTCGCTTCGATTTCCCATGAATTAAAGAAATATAAATTATATAAAAAAAATAAATATGTGTATGAAATGTCACGATGTATTTATATACTGAAATAAATAAATGAGCCGCGTCATGACAAAACCAACATAATGGGTTTGCGACCAGCATGGATCCAGACCAGCCTGCGCATCTGCCCAGTCTGATCAGGATCCATGCTGTTCGCTATCAGTTTCTCTACTTGTTATACAGTTTGTAAGCGAACAGCATGGATCCTGATCAGACTGCGCTGATGCGCAGGCTGATCTGGATCCATGCTGGTCGCAAACCCATTATGTTGGTTTTGTCATGACGCGGCTCAAATTAAGTTTATGAATGAGACAGATGTGCATGTATTTGTGTTAATTTTGAAAGTTGCTGAGAGTTAAAAATCGCGGAGAAAGGCTGCGGTCAGTGTTTGACCCCATTAGTGTTTTTGGGTTAACCGTAATTATATAGACAAACAGTATTAAAGTTATGTACCGCCACGAAGCTATTTAATTATCGTTGAACTAGTTGCCTGCCTCATCCAATATATACAAATTTACTGTCCGTAAGTATGTGTCATGTAT